TTTGCAGAAATGGACAAGCTGATCCTATGATCCATATGGAAATGCAGATGACCTGGACTAGCTAAAATAGTCTTAAAAAAGAAAGTTGGAGGACTTACACTTTTGATTTCATAACTTAGTACAGATCCAACAGTGAGGTAAGGTATTGGCATAAGGAGAAAAGACATAGACCAGTGGAATTGAATTGAGAGTCCAAAAGTAAACTCTTACATTCTTCTTTTTTTAAAAAAAAATTTTTTTATTAATTTCAGAGAGGAAGGAAGAGGCGGAGAGAGAGAGAAACATCAATGATGAGAGAGAATCATTGATTAGCTGCCTCTTGCACGCTCCCCACTGAGGATCGAGCCCGCAATCTGAGCATGTGCCCTTGACCAGAATCAAACCTGGGACCCTTTAGTCTGCAGGTCGACACTCAATCCACTGAGCCAAACTGGCTAGGGCAACCCTTACATTCTTGTAAAAAACAAGTAAATAAGTTTTTTATAAGAATGCTAAGACAATTCAATGAGGAAAAATAGTTTTCAAGTGATGCTTGGCAGCTGGATATCCATACAGGAAAATAATGAAGTTTAACCCCCTACTTCACACCAAATACAAAAATTAACTCAAAATGAATTTAAGAGCTAATACTATAAAGATCTTCAAGTAAATATAAGAATAAATTGTAATGACCTTGGCTAAGTCATAGGCTTCTTAGATAAGACAACAAAAGTTAAAAGTGAAAAAGAAATGTATAAATTGACCTTTATCTTTGCTTCAAAAGTCACCATCAAAAACTGAAAAAAATAACCCATAAAATGGGAGAAAACATTTTCTAGTTACATGTCTGATAAGGGATTTGTATCTAAAATATATAAAGAACTCTTAATGAATTGATGGTAGAACAATACCAGAGTTTTAAAATGGATAAAACATCTGAATAGACATTTCTCCGAAGAAGATATACAAATGGCCAATAAGCACATGAATAGGCCCTCAACATCATTAGTGGTAGGATAATGCAACAGGAAGAACCCATTATTACAATTGCACACATGGTCTTATTTAGGACACAGATGACTTTAATCTAAGTTATTAATAAAAAACGGTAGTTTATAATATTTACAGCTTTGTTGAGATAATTAACATACAATAAACTGCACTTATTTCGGTGTACAATATGGCAAGTTTTGATGTTATGATATCATCACCACAATCAAGATCATGTCCATCACCTTCAAAAAGTTTCTTCCATCCCCTTTGTTAACCCCCTCTCTTCCCAAACAACCACTGATCTCTTTTCTATCACTGTAGGTTAGTTTGCATTTTCTAGAATTTAATACAAATGGACTTACACAGTTTGTGGTGGGTTTTGGCCTGGCTTCTTTTTTAGTTTGAGGTTCATCACTGTTATCACATGTATCAGTATATGATTTCTTTTTATTGTTTTTGGGTTTTTTATTGATTTTTTTACACAGAGGAAGGGAGAGGGATAGAGAGTTAGAAACATCGATGAGAGAGTAACATCGATCAGCTGCCTCCTGCACACCCCCTCCTGGGGATGTGCCTGCAACCAAGGTACATGCCCTTGACTGGAATCGAACCTGGGACCTTTCAGTCCACAGGCCGAGGCTTTATCCACTGAACCAAACCAGTTAGGGCTATTTGTTTTATTGGGGAGTAATATTTCCTTGTGTTGATACACCACAATTTGTGTATTCACTCATCTTTTGATGGACATTTGGTTTGATTATAGTTTTTGGCTATTATACATAACACTGCTGTGAACATTCATGTCAAGTCTTTTCATCGACATATATTTTATTTATTTGGGGTAAATACTTAGGAGTGGAATTGCTAAATCATGTGGTAGGAGTACATTTAACTTTTCAAGAAACTGCTGAAGTCTATTTCACCTGCCATATATGAGAATCCCAATTTCTCCAAATCCTGACCAACACTTGGCATGGTCAGTCTTTTTAAATTTTAGTTTTCTAATAGGTGTATAGTGGTATCCCTCTGTGGTTTTTAACTAGCATTTCCCTAGTAACTAATGGTATTGAGCATCTTTGCATGTGTTTATTTGCCATCCTCTCTCTTCCTTGGTGAAGTGTGTATTTTAATCTTTTGTTCAGTTTTTTTATTAGATTATATATATTTTCTTACTGTTGAGTTCTGGAGGTTATAATATACTATATTATAGTATAGGCTATGTTAATGTTTTATATTAATGTATATTCTATACATATCTATATAGAATACAAGTCCTTTATCAGACATAGGCTTTACAAAGATTTTCTCCCAGTTAAGGTGTACAATGTAATGATTTGGTATAGATAGCAAAATGATTACTGTGGGGGAAAACTAATTAACATCATCTCACATAGTTATCTTTTTTGGTAATGAAACCATCTGAAATCTGTCTGAACAAATTTCTAGTATTCAATTCAGTATATTAACTATAGCCATGTTATATATTAGATAACTAGATTTATTAATTGCATATAACTGCAATTTGTATTCTTTTAACCATGCTTTGAGCAGAAATTTTAAACTTTGATGAAGTAGTTTATTAATTTGTTCTTTTATAGATTATACATTTACTGTCATATCTACATATGAGGTTTTAAAGTTGGAAGTACCATTTCACTTATGAGTTCTATTGCAGTGGTTTCTTATTAGCTAATAGTATAAGATAGTATGTTCTCCTGTTTGCATCTTGTGAGTTTTAAAATTTTTTCTCGTTTCATTCAAAGCTAACTCTGAATTAATATTATGAAATGTAAACATAAAAAACTATTTAGCCTAGCTGGTGTGGCTCAGTAGTTGAGAATCCACCTATGTGAGCCAGGAAGTCATGGTTCCATTCCTGGTCAAGGCACATGCCGGGATTGCGGGCTTGATCCTCAATGTGGAGCATGCAGGAGGCAGCTAACCGTGATTCTCTCTCATCATTGATGTTTCTGTCTCTCCCTCTCCCTTCTCTCTGAAATCAATAACAATATATTTTTTTAAAATTATTTAATGTGTGCATTGGTCTTGCCATAATTAGGTCCTGCAAACTGTCAGAGTGTTATTATTAAAGTACTAGAGGTCTGGTGCACGAAATTTGTGCACTTGGGGTGAGTCCCTCAGCCTGGCCTGCACCCTCTCGCAGACCAGGAGCCCTTGGGATATGTCCAACTGATGGTTTGGACCCACTCCCCACCATCAGTCAAACATCCTTAGCGTTGCCGAAGCCGGTTTGGCTCAGTGGATAGAGCGTTGGCCTGCGGACTGAAGGGTCCCGGGTTCGATTCCGGTCAGGGGCATGTGCCTGGGTTGCGGGCACATCCCCAGTGGGGGATGTGCGGGAGGCGGCTGATCGATGTCTCTCTCTCATCGATGTTTCTGACTCTCTATCTCTCTCCCTTCTTCTCTGTAAAAAATCAACAAAATATATTAAAAAAAAAACCAAACCATCCTTAGCGTTGCTGCAGAGGCGGGAGAGGTTCCTGCCACTGCCGCTGTACTCACCAACTGTGAGCCCAACTTCTGGCTGATCGGCGCTCCCCCTATGGGAGCGCACTGACCACCAGGGGACAGCTCCTGGTGATGAGTGAATGTCATAGCAACCGGTTGTTCTGCCATTAGGTCGATTTACATATTAACCTTTTATTATATAGCCTTTTATTATATCATGTACTCAGGGGAGGGGGATCCCTCAGCCCAGATTGCAAGAGGGCGCAGGCCAGGCCAAGGGACCCCACCAGTGCAGGATTGGGGCCGGGGAAGGACGTGGGAAGTTGGCCAACTGGGAGGGACCGCAGGAGGGCTCTAGGGCGTGTCCAGCCCCTCTTGCTCAGTCCCAATTGGCTGGACCCCAGCAGCAAGCTAACCTGATCAGGGCCTCTGCCCCCTGGTCAGCCAGTTGACAGTCTGCCCCCCTGGTGGTCAGTGCACACCATAGTAACTGGTCGACAGGTTGTCTGCCCCCTCGTGGTCAGTGCATGTCATAGCAAGCAGTTGAGCTGCCTTAGTATATCATTAGCATATTATGCTTTGATTGGTTTGGTTCTACCATTCAGTCTATTTGCATATTACCCTTTTTATTAGATAGGACTAGAGGCCTGGTGCATGGATTCCTGCACTGGGAGGGTCGTTCAGTCTAGCCTGCACCCTCTTGCAACCCGGGACCCCTCGGGGGATTTTGGACTGCCGGTTTCGGCCCGAGGGATGTAGTAGTGTGTGAAGCGGCAGGCAGCCAGGGAGGAGCCTGAGCCTGGGGCCGGGCACCATACGCTCCCGCTCATCCTGGCCCTGCTGCACCTGCCACTGCCTGGTAGCACTGCCGCAGAGGCAGGAGAGGCTCACGCTGCTGCAGCTGTGCTCTCCAACTGTGAGCCCAGCGTCTGGCACCCATCTGTCAGCTGAGCAGAGCTCCCACTGTGGGAGCACACTGACAACCAGGGGGCAGCTCCTGTGTTGAGCTGTGTGCACATCATATAGCAACTTGTCAAACGGTCAACCGGTCGTTTAGAGCTTTGTATATGTTCTCCTACTACTTTATTCACTAAATGCAGCACAGCAAATAGATTTCAGGAAATAGAATCCAGAAAAAAGGACTTGAAAGTACATATGCTGCCACAAGCTTCTTTGCTGATGGAGTATGAATGGAAATTTTTAAATGTTAGCCAACAGAAAGGAAATTATATTCTGAAAGCCTGCTCTGATTTGCTAGGGTTTTGTTTGTTTGTTTGTTACTTTATATTTTAGAGAGAGGAAGAGGGGGAGAAAGAGAGATATATCATTGATCAGTTGCCTCCTACAGATGCCCCAACCAGGGATGGAATCTGCAGCCTGGGCATATACCCTGACTGGAAATAGAATCTGCACTTTTTGGTATATGGCACAGTACTCCAACCAACTAAGTCACACTGGCCAGGGCTGATTTGCTAGTTTTCTAAACAAGTTTTAATTTTAAATTGTGAAGGATTATTTTTCCATTAGAAAGATTTTCAGTGGAAAACTGTCTTTTTTAGTATTTCCACAGGTAACACCGAAAGGAATTAATGGTATAGACTTTAAAGGGGAGGCAATAACTTTTAAAGCAACTACTGCTGGAATCCTTGCTACACTTTCTCATTGTATTGAACTAATGGTAAAACGTGAGGAGAGCTGGCAAAAGAGAATGGATAAGGTAAGACTATTTTTCTTTCTGTTAAATTATAATCATTTAAGTTTTATATATGGATTGAATATTTAAACCAAACTAACTTGTTAGGGAAAAATGCATTGGAGTTGATAGAAGTAGTGGGTATACTTCTGAAACTTTGCAGGCATCTTAACCTCATTTTCCTAATGAGATTCACCAGTTAAATATTCAGTAACTGTACAATATACATTCTTGATTAATAACATTTTTGTAATAATAGCAATGCTTTATTGGAAGTGATAAGCCATTTAATATTACCCAGCTTTATTGTATGACATATGAAACTGCATTTAAGCTGTATAAACTAACATAAACACAAATTTATAAAGTTAAATATTAACTTATTGCATTTATAACTATGTATTTTCCAAGGTCATTGAGATATCATTCAACATACATTATATTATTCATTAAACATTTGCTTACTGTTCACCTTTTTGACCTTTGTTTAAATTGCAACACTGATAATATTACAATATGAATACTTAGTTTCTAGTGTAAAGTACGGCTTAGTGAATTTGTTTAGTATTTCTGTTTATAATTCAACATCAATAAAATAGTAAAATGTTAGAACTGAAACATGCCACCATTTTATAGAAGAAGAATTGTGCCCCAGAGACTTCTCCAGAGGTATTAAGTAGCAGAATTAGAAGAATTTTACTATTTTCTGTATTTCAGCTCTGGATACTAGGCTAGACATCAGTCAGAATCTTTTGTTGTTGTTGTTGTTGTTTTGTGGGGGGTTTTCATTAATCCTCACCCGAGGATATTTTTCCCATTGATTTTTTTTTTTTTTTTTTTTTTTTTTTTTTGCGTGACTGGAAGGGAGGGGGAGACACAGAGTGAGAGAAACATTGATATGAAAGAGACACATTGATTGGTTGCAAGCCTGCAGCTGAGGCCTATGACCGGAAGAGAAACTGAGACCCTTCAGTCCAAGGTCTGACACTGTAACCACAGAGCCAAACTGGCTAGGGCCAGTCAGAATCTTCTTCGTCAGTGAGTCATATTGCTTGTAGAATTTGAAGGTCTTAACAATTAAAGCAGGACACTAGGAAAGCAATGTCAACACTGATGTAATGGCAGAATGGCCATACGATTTGAATATCACTGTGTATTTAAAACGGTCCCCATGTTTAGACGAAAAGAGAATTGTTCAGAATTCTCAAGTGAAGTAGCCATATTGACTGACAAAATATGTATCTTTTAAAAACAGGCAATAAAAACGTCCATTTAAGGTACAACCACTTCATTATTATTCAGGAGTCAAACTATTCTACATTGAAAGATTTCAACTCTATACCAATGTGGATCAAATTGAATTTTTAGAAGATTCCCTGTGCACACAAAAAATAATGTATTGAGAAAACAGGAGAACCCCTTAAATCTATTAGACTAATGGTTCAAGAGAATCATTCAACTCATCTAGACTAGTTTAAAACTTTTTTCTTTAGTCTCTTTAACCTTCACTAAGGAATTATCATATCTAACCACACTGCCTAAAAACATTCTATTCATTTAAGATGTTTGCTTACATTAGTAGACTCACATATGTGTAATTTCGCATGCTTTTTCACTTTTCCCTAAGTCTTTTTAATATTGCTGAGCTTTGTGGTTTGGTTTGGATCATTTTTTAAGATATGTTAATACATATAGTGAACTACACTAATCTTAAGTGTACTGCTTAATGATTTTTGTACATTTGTATATACCCCTGTAGCCACCAGTCAGATCAACATACAGAAAGAACTTTTATAGCACAAGGTTCCTTCATTCCCCTACCATGACCTTAAGAGGTGACCACAATTCTAACTTACATGATCATTGATTAGTTTTGTCTGTTCGTGAACATCATAAATGAAATCATACAGTATACACTCTTGTTTCTGTCTTTTTTCTCCCTTAACATGACTTGAGATTCATGTTGTTACATCTAGTGGTAGTTTATGCTTTTTTATTATTGTATAGTATTTCATTGTGTGATGAATTTTCATTGTTTGACTTTGATTATTTTTCCTATTGATAGAAGTTTAGGATTTTATATTTTTATTATTATGAATAAAGTTTCTGGGAACATTCTTGTACATATTTTTTGGTGGACATATGCACTCATTTCTCTTGGGCATATACCTGGGAATACAATTGTTAATTCATGGGGGTATATGCTTAGCTTCAGTGGATATTGACAATTTTCTAAAGTGGTTATATCAGTTTAAACTCCCACCAGCAATAGATGAGAATTCCTGTTGCTGTTCACCCTTGTCCGCACATAATATTGTCAGTTTTGGGTGGGTGTTTTATTTTGATTTTTCACTTGCTTTCTTTTGAAAATAGGAAATGGAGAAAAGAAGAAGAATAGAGGAAGCATACAAAAATGCCATGGTAGAACTTAAGAAAAAATCCCACTTTGGAGGACCTGATTATGAGGTATGAAGTTACATTTTGATCTTAGAAAGGAAAACACATAGGCATGCCTATCACAAAAGTGATTAATTTTATATTATACTTTTGTAGCCTTTAAAGGTTCTAAATATATAATTCTTTTATGTTTATTTTAATTAAATATATATATCATAATATATAAATGCTAGGCTTACTTTGAAATAGAATTTTTGGTATTGCCTACAAAGTTTAGTATAGGCTTTAAAAGGCTTATTATTTTGCCTGTCCACTGTATAAGACAAGTGTTAATCTCCCCTGTGAAGATGATAATTTTTAATGTTTATCTTCTAACTCACTTTTTTAAATAAAAGCAACTTATGGAGGGAAAGCCTGAATACTTTATACAGACAAAAGATTTTAGTTTGTGCAATATACTATGATGTCTTATCCACAGTAGAGCATGAACTATTATAATTACTTTGCCTTTATGTTTGGAATGTGTGAAACCAACTTCTTTCCTCATTTTTTTTTATTGAGCAATTAATAAAATCTTCCTTCCATATACATGCATAATTAAAATTTTATAAACTATTTTTCATCACGTTTTTATAGAAAAATATATAAGAAATATATATATAGTAATTGTCATTAACATTGTTGATATTCCTGAAATGAACATTTTTTTATTACTTTTTTATCCTCACCTGAGGATATGTTTTTGTTTGTTTGTTTTTTAGTTTTTATTGTTTTTTAGATAGAAAAGAAGTGGGGAAAGAGAGAGAACATCGATGTGAAAAAGAAGCATCAATCGGTTGACTCCCATACATGCCCCAACAGGGAATCAAACCCACAACCTAGGTTTGTGCCCTGACTGAGAATTGAACCCATAGCCTTTTGGTGTGCAGGTTGATGCTCCAGTCAACTAAGCCAACCAGCCAGGGTAAAATGAAAATTTTTTAAATAGAGTGTCAAGGAGTACCATTGAGATAGAGGTAGGATTATAAAATAGTTATAGTTAGCCCTGTTGGTATGCTTCAATGGTTGAGCATCAATCCATGAACCAGGAGGTCACTGTAGTTCGATTCCTAGTCAGTACACATGCCCGGGTTGCAGGCTCAGTCCCAGGTGGGCGGCATGCAGGAGGCAACCTATCAATGATTCTCTCTCATCATTGATGTTTCTATCTCTTTTCCTCTCCCTTCTTTCTGAAATCAGTAAAAAATACATATATTTTAAAATAATTATAGTTAGACTATATTTAAGAAAATAGAAGAAAAAAATCTTGCCAATTTTATTCTAGAAGGGAATAAAAAAACTGATATTGACTGAGTATTTCTTACGTTGGAACTGATTGAGAAAAAAAGTTTTTATTAACTATATTTAATGTTGAAATTGATTAAAGAAAAAAACTCAGCTGCTATTGACTAAATATTTTTTATGCTGGAATTGATTTCCAAATGTAGAAATCATGATCATGAGACTTGAGCTGTAATATTTTTTAATTATTAAGCTGTCAATTCATTTCTTCTAGAATGTATAAAAGTTATATAATTAGCTATTCTCTGGGGCTTTAATAAACTAAATTACTGAAATATAAGCTATTATAATTTTAGTTTTTATTCTGATGCTAAGCATATTGTTTTGCCATTTTAGGTTACCTTATTTTTTTATATTATAAATAAAATAAATGTTTCTTATATGAAGATTATAGAAAAATACACAAAAAGCCCATTTTTTTTAATTTATCAATATATGGTACTAATTTATTTCCTTCCAGCAATATATAAGTATAGTTATATACTTCCACTTCTGTCAAACCAGTTTTCTTTCAGGGAATAAGAGTGGGATGGAAGGAGAGGCCTTGTGCTAGGTATATATGTTTACTAGTTTCAAATCTAAAAAAATTGCTTTATTTATTGATGTAATTGATTTAGGCTTTTCTAAAGAAATGTTTATTGGTCACTTAAAATTTGCTCTATAAAAGTTTTATGCTTTTATGTAATCTCTCAGTCTTTTGATACACTTAGCTCTATATTTGATATCATGTTTAAAAAGCATTCTCAAATAATTATCTGTATTTCCTTTTTTCCTTTTTTAATGGTCTTTTCTAAATATATTGCTAATATACCTGGATTTTTAAAAAGTATGGTATAATATGGTAATCTTTTATTCTAATGGTGTTGTTGAATAAATCATTCTTTTCTACTCCTGTATTGCCCTCTTTTAATGAAGAACATGGGTAAGGGTTCTTCAGCCTTTTCTCACCACCTCCTTATGATATGAAGTTAAATATGCAATTTTTAAATAAACTAGGGCCTGTTTTTATGTTTTCCTCCTTGCTTTTAGAGCAGTGATGGTGAACCTTTTGAGCTCGGCGTGTCAGCATTTTGAAAAACCCTAACTTAACTCTGGTGCCATGTCACATATAGAAATTTTTTGATATTTGCAACCATCGTAAAACAAAGATTTATATTTTTGATATTTTTTTATATATTTAAATGCCGTTTAACAAAGAAAAATCAACCAAAAAAACGAGTTCACGTGTCACCTCTGACACGCGTGTCATATGTTCGCCATCACTGTTTTAGAGTCTTGAACCATCTATAATGTGTCAGTACTATGCTTGCTTGGATTTTAAAATGACACTAATTCAAAATGTGACTTTATTTTGGTTCTTATTCAACATTTATGATGTTTTTATTATTGAACAAAGTTTAAATGTTTGTCATCTATAGCCTCAGAAATTACTTTATAATCTTAAATCCATTCCTTAAGACTTATAGCACAAGGCACTGTGCTAGGTGTGGGGTGGGGTGAGATTGCAAGGAACAAGGCAGACAAGGATCCTGCCTGAGGGCCCCTCCTGAGTATATGTTAATGGTAATATAGACTAAGTAGCAGGCAAATAGAATAATATTTATTATAAAGCACTTTTAACAGTGTGGGCATGGCTTCCTAAAGGAAACAGCATCTTAGCTGAAACCTTAAGAATAAGTAGGTTGAGTAGATGTCAACCAGGCAAATAGCCTAGAAAGAGCGTTGCTTGTAGGGGCTTAGAAGAAAAGAAAACATTTGGAGACCCAAAGCAAGAGAAAGCATTTTGCCCCAGAGTAAGTTACCAATGGAGCAGGGAGCCCAATGAGAGGAGGGAGGGATAAAAAGGTCTGAGAACAGTGCAGATCCTCAGGAATGGGTTTTAAGCAAATTGGGTTTTCAGATTTACAGTTTAGAAAAATTATTCTTGCTTTCTACAGTGAAGAGAGAGGATTAAAGTTGAGAGTTGTGACAGGGACTTAGAGATTTTTTTCAGTATAACAGATAAGAATTGAATATAGTCTAAATTAGATAGGCTAGGAGAGTAAGAATAGATGTGGAAAAATGAGATATTTGGAAAGTAGAATTGAAGGGTGTGGTGATTGAATGAAGGAAAAGGGAGGAATCCAAGAACAGGCCCAGATTTCTGCCTTTGTCCTATTGGTGCACAGGTAGAGGAAGAACAGGTTTTAGACATGTTCCACATGAGTTGAGACAGTCATCTGAGGAGGTCTTACATATTATTAGATGTAAAGATCTAACACCACTTAGGAAAGGAATGGACAGGCTATGAATTTGGGAAATTATCAGATGATAACTGAACTCTTAGAAATGAATAAAAATGCTGTGGGAAAGCAAGTGTGGAATCCTAAGGAACACCCACATTTAAGGGATAGACAAAGGAGGAAGAGTCTGCATAGGAGCCCAAGAAGAGTGCTTAGTAGAGGGGAACTAGGAAGTTAGGAATCCAAAGGCAGAGATCCTTGCAAAGAGAGTCATTAGAAATGCTGCTCATAAGGCAAGTGAGGTCAAGACTGTGGAGTGTGTCCCATAGATTTAGCAACAAATAGCTCTTTTCCTTGGGAAGAAGGTGAAATAAAAGTGGGTTTTTTTAATTTGTTTTTTAATAAAAGAAATTTTATGCAATTAGTAAGTTCTCAGATTTACCATCAAAGGAAAAATGTACCTTTCTTATTTGCCCATTTCACTTATCAAAGTATTTTTTTTTAATTTTGTATTAAGTGTATTGGGTTGACATTGCTTAGTAACATTATATAGGTTTCAAGTGTACAGTTGTTTAATACATCATCTGTATATTACATGTGTGTTCACCACCCAAAAGCAGAACTTTTTAATCCTGAATTTCCCAATTGGGAGACTCCTGAGATGCTGACATGATTGCATAGGTTGAATGCGTATTATAATTTTTAATAGTGTAGATGTGGTTGTGATCAATAGAGTTTTCAAAAATCACAGAAAATATGTTCAGAGTAGATTTTGGATATTTTCTATTTTTCTCACATCAACAAAGACCAAAGTGATACTACTACTATTTAAGTGCCTTAGAAATGTCCTAACTGTATACAGGGAATCCTTCAGGATAGCCTCTAGAATGCTGTTACCGTTCTTCTGATTCAACAGGTTTAAATTCACTTAGTGATAATTCACTGAAGTATGCACTATTCTATGTGTATGTTGAAGTTGAATAAAAAGTTTCTGTGGATTTTTTTTTTCTTTTGAAACGAGCTATGAGAGAGTCCTCATAACTCCAAAAGAACTATTGCATTAAATCAAGATTCCTCATATGCCTGTGCCAGGGGGTTTTCTCCCACCCTTCCTGTGTAACCCCACCTTGTGAGAGGGATGGAATGATGTTGCTACATACTTTTTCATGGAGTAGTGAGGACGTTGGATTGTCAGTCTAACTAGTAAGATTATAGAGAGACCAACAATCATTCATGTGCCTTATTTTTATATTTAAAAATTTAGGAGCCCTAGACAGTTTGGGTCAATGGATAGAGCATTGGCCCACGGACTGAAGGATCCTGAGTTTGATTCTGGTCAAGGGCACATACCTCGCTTGCAAGCTCGATCTTGTATGGGAGGCAACTAAGCGATATATCTCACATCAATGTTTCTCTCTCTGTCTCTCCTGCATCCTTCCACTCTCTAAAAATCAATGAAAAAATATTCTCGGGTGAGGATTAAAAAAATTTGGGGGTGGGGGGGGT